ACTCAATGGCACCTCACAATACACAGTGATGTGGAAACATATTCGGACTAAATTGTACAATAAAAAAAGGAAGAAGGTGTAACAGTATGAATAATAAGATCTCAAGTATGTTTAAAACAAACTTACTATATAGATCTGTTCATGTGTATAAACCTAGCTGGAAGTCTAAACAAGACTAAGGCATGTTGGACTCTGGGGCATGAGAGTGTGTGTGTTGAGGGGAGGGGTCCTTTCTACTTTTACATCTTCTGCACTGCTGGACTTTAACAGATGCAAAGGGCTAACGCCAAGGCATCGCTTATGGGGCATATATTATGTTCTTAGGCTGATATTTAACTACTGTTAGTGTATAAATGAACTGAGACATCCTTCTTGAAAACGGCACATCCCGAATGTTCTAGTTAACACTGGTGTCCCCTTTCTTCCCGATACTACACCCCAGGAAGGAAAACATTCTCTCCACAAACGTCAATAAACTGGTGGTGAGTTCTACCGCCAAAATACTTACAGAATTCAAACAAGACCCTCAGAGCATTAACTTCCCATTGAAAACCACAAGTCCAACAGAACAGCCATTTTTACACCAGTTCAGAAAAGGAACACGTCAACCACTTTATGCCTAAATAAGCACTGTGGAAGCAACAGAATGAGGGCATGGTGCAAAAAACTCCAAGTAACCAGTAGAGCCAGGATGCGCAGAGCGCCAGCCTTGCTCTTCACTCTCACCACACACCTCCTTTCTCTCCAGTTTTGATGGGGTCTTTGCTGCTTTCAAGTTTCCTTTTTTTTTTTTAATAGCACTGTGTTCTGTCAACTACACTGTAACACTTTAGACTGTGAAGCCATCCACTGATACAGCCAATAAGATCTGAGACGGCAATCCTGACACTTCCCTGCAGGATGCAGGTAGCTGAAGAGCATAATTTATAATTTTTTAAGCCGTTTATAGCCCCACTCCTGTCAGCGAGGCTTGCTGTGTTGCTATGATGCTGAGCAGGTTTCAGTAGAGCTTCCAGACTAAGCTGGACTAGGAAGAAAGGCCAGGCAATCTACTTCTGAGAATCAGCCAATGAAAACCCTATGGATCACAACGGTCCTATATGCAACCGGTTATGCGGCTGGCGCAGGATCAGGCAGTGTTTCATTCCACTGTGCATGGGACAGACTATCACCCGCAGCCAACTACAGCCCTTAACAAGTGTTATTGACTAACTAGCAACCCCCACCACCCCCGTTTTCGCGAGGAGTAAGAAGTACAGCCAGAATGCTTCTTAAAAGCGAGGATGGCGAGACTTTGTCTGGCGTACTTTGGACATGTTATCAGTCCCTGGAGAAGGACATCATGCTTGGTAAAGTGGAGGGTCAGCAAAAAAGAGGAAGACCCTCAACGAGATGGACTGACCGTGTCTGCAATATGGGCTCAAGCACAGTAAAAATTGTGAGGATGGCCCAGGACCGGGCAGTGTTTGGTTCTGTTGTACACGGGGTCACTATGAGTCGAAACTGACTCCACCACACCTAACAACAACAACAAAGACATACTGGCTACACCCCAAATGCTTACAGTTGAGCTGTAATGTTTTGAGTAATGCTCCTAATGATGCTGATTCAACCACTGCTCTTCTAAAGATAAAAGGATCCACTCCTCACTCTTGAGCCAAAGGTCCGGGTGATCATCCTTCCCCCGCTTTCATAGCACAGCTCCCCCTCTCAGATTTCTCTGCATTTTAAGTCCCTCGTGGTACACTGGAGCCCTGGGGGCGCAGTGGTTAAGAGCTCGGCTGCTACTCAAAAGGTGTGCGGTTCGAATCCACCAGCCGCTCCTTGGAAGCCCTATGGGGCAGCTCTCCTCTGTCTATAGGCTCGCTAGGAGTCGGAATGGACTGACGGCAGTGGGTTTGGCTTTTGGCAGTCCTAAGGGAACCCCCTCCCTCCGAGCCGCCCAGGTGCGGCACACCTGGGAAGACGGCGACCCCATGCCCCCCGCCCGCCCGGACTGACAGCGGAGCAGGATGCAGTCGGGGTCCTCCTGGCTCGTCACCCAGCTCAGCGAGTCGCCCAGCGGCCGGCGGCAGCCGGAGCACAGGAACACCAGCGGCCGCTCCTCCTCCGCGGCCTCCCCGCGCCACGTCTCCTCGGCGCCGGCCGCCGGCGCGCTCCAGCTCCCGGAGCTCCACATGCTCGCCCACTGCTGCAGCAGCTGTTGGCGGCTCGAGTCTTCGGAAAGCCGCCTGCCCAGCAGGGAGGAGTCGCTCCACTTGCCCTGGTCACACGCACAGCTAACAGAGGAGCATCTTTTGCAACAATACAGTGACGAGGTACCCGCCATGACCTACAAATTGCCCGCGCCCTAGAGCACCACGGGAAAAGCGACGCTGCGCATGCGCGGGGCGGGGCGAAGCGGTCCAGATCGAGGCCTGAGGGGCGGGGTCTGAGGGACGAAGTCCGGCGGGCAGGGGGCTCGTGCGCATGCTCACTGCGGGCTCGGCGCGGCCGGCGATCACTGCGCTTGCGTCAAGATTTCCATCCTTAAGAAAGAAGGAGCCCTGGTGGTGCAGTAGTTAAAGTGCTCGGCTGCCAACCCGGAGGTCAGCAGTTTGAACCCACTAGCCACAAAGATGTGGCAGTCTGTTTCCGTAAAAATTACAGCTTTGGGAACCCTATGGGGCAGTTCTCTGTCTTACAGGGTCGCTATGAGTTGCAATCGACTCCACAGCAGTGGGTTTGGCTTGGTTTGGTTTGCGTTACGAACAAATTCTAGGGTTTGGCAAAGACTGGAGGAGCCCCCGAGACTGGCCCTAAGACACCCTTCTGAACTGGAACTGCAGCCATTCCCAGAGATCACCTCCCAGCCAAACCACAGACCGGCCAGTGAAATAAACAGTAACATCCGAGAGAAACATGCTCCTTAGAACAATCAATTATACGAGATCAAAAGGGCAACATTTGCCCAAAAGCAAAGATAAGAAGCCCGGAAGGGGTAGAAAATCAGGACGAAAGGAAACGGGGAACCCAGGGTGGAAATGAGGAGACTGCAACCAACGTCATGGAACACTGTGTACAAACTATCCAATGGGAAACTAGTTTGCTCTGTAAACTTTCACCTAAAGCTCAATAAAATTAAAAAAAAAAAAAAAGAGGAAGAAGAAGTTGCCGGAATGCTAGTCTGCATTGAGAAGGACGTTCAGCTACTTACTTGGGGGAGTGTTAGAGGGTAGCATTGTTGAAAAAGTATACAGACCTCAGACTAAATTACCAGCCGCTCACCTAGACCTTCACAATTGTTGGTCTTGTTGTTAGCTGTTAGCTGCCTTTGAGTCGCCCCCAACTCACGGCAATCTCATGCACAACAGAAAAAAATGCTGCCCAGTCCCGCTCCATCCCCACTGACTGTTGTGATCCATAGGGATTTCATTGGCTAATTTTTGGAAGCATATTGCCAGGCCTTTCTTCCTAGTCTATCTTAGTCTGGAAGCTCCGCTGAAACCTATCCACCATTGGTGACACTGCTGGTTTTTGTAAATACCAGTTCCATAGCTCCCATCATCACAGCAACACACAAGCCATCACAGTACAGCAAAGTAACAAATGGGTGGTAGTCTAAAGGGATAGTGGGAAGCAAAAAATAAAATCATGGCCCATTTGTATTACATCCTGTGGTCTTTATTGCTCAATCTATCAGTTACTCAGATTAATTGATTCAACCCTCATTTCTGGCTTCCTTCAAAGTCTTAGAGTAAATAACAAATAAATGTTAGTCAATTTAATATCAGAGTCCCTGGGCACAAATGGTTAAATGCTCGACTACTAGCTGAAAGTTTGGCAGTATGAACCCCCTCAGAGGTGCCTCGGAAGACAGGCCTGGCGATTTGCTTCCTAAAGTTCGCAGCCTTGAAAACTCTGTGGAGCTATTGCACTCTACACACACGGGCTCACCGTGAGTCAGCGTGGACTCAAGAGCAACTGAGAACAACAACAATTTAATATCAACGGCCAGCGCCAGGAGAGAGGGAACAAGAAGGGGACAGAGGTCACAAGAAGAGCAGAAAATGAACGAGACCCTAATCATGTTGCTGGGCAAATCAGGGCTTTTTAAAAGTGCTTTGGCAATCGAGGAAAATCGCCAGTTAGTGGCTCTTGATCACGATTGATTGGGGACTAGATTTTAATTGCATGCATTTCCTTAGACTTACACATAAGAAAGAAGGTAGGATGTGATTATGGCCGCGGCAGTCAGTCTGCTGACCCCTTGAGGATTCAGAGAGCTGATTGCAACTGCATTTGAGGACCATTGGGCATTGCACAGAGGATCCTACACGTAGATATATTTTTAAGAGCCAAATGGCACCCAAGGCTGCCTTCCCCGACCAGTTGACAGCTAGAGAATGTCATGCTGTGCATTCAGCCCCCAGGGACTCCTGCCACAACCAGGGCCCTCCTCAGGGGCAGCAAGGGTGCTGTGGGAAAAGAGTGGTTGGATGTTTATACCTGGGTTCCCGGGTGAAACAATGACTACGGGAATAGGCCTCACCCTCTAAAATACCCTCAGAGCAGGATGTTCTTTTAATCGTCAGTTTCCCTCTCCTATTTAATGTATCTTCCTTATTCATTGTCCAGCTTTCACATGCACGTGAGAAGACTGAAAACACAATGGCCTGGGTCAGGCCCACCTTAGTCCTCAAAGTGACATCTTTGCGTTTTAACACCTTAAAGAGGTCTTTTGCAGCAGATTTGCCCAATGCAATGAGTCATTTGATTTCTTGACTGCTGCTTCCACGGGTGCTGATTGTGGATCCAAGTAAAATGCAATCCTTGACAATTTCAATCTATTCTCTGTTTATCATGATGTTGCTTATAGGTCTAGTGGTGAGGATTTTTGTTTTGTTTATGTTGAGGTGTCATCCGTACTGAAGGCTGTGGTCTTTGATCTTCACCAGTAGGTGATTCCAGGTCCTCTTCACTTTCAGGGAACAAGGTTGTCTCATTTGCACATCACAGGTTGTTAATGAGTCTTCCTCCAATCCTGATGCCACGTTCTTCTTCATATACTCCAGTTTCTCGGGTTATTTGCTCAGCATACAGATTGAATAGGTATGGTGAAAGGATACAACCCTGACACACGCCTTTCCTGACTTTAAACCACACAGTATCCCCTTGTTCTGTTTGACCGACTGCCTCTTGGTCTATGTACGGGTTCCTCATAAGCACAATTCTTCACAATGTTATCCATAATTTGTTAGGATCCACACAATTGAATGCCCTTGCATAGTCAATAAAACCCAGGTAAATATCTTTCTGGTATTCTCTGCTTTCAGCCAGGATCCAGCTGACATCGGTAATGATATCCCTCATTCCACATCCTCTTTCTGAATCCAACTTGAATTTCTGGTAGTTCCCTGTCGATGTACTGCTGCAACCGCTTTTGAATGATCTTCAGCAAAATTTTACTTGTTAGGCATCTGGAGGAATCTCCAGAATAAATTGTTAAGTGAAGAAAACAAGAGGAAAAAGTAGAAGTCTATATATGTATATAGTTTGCTACTACACATATACAAAAAAGGAGAGGCAGAAGGTATGCATATACGTGTGTATTACTTATATTTGTAAAAATTGAAGGATAAACCAAAAACTTTTTTAAAGTGTTTATTTAAGGGGAGAGAGCAGGAAAAGAAGAGAGGAAGAGAAGTTAGAGATCTATAAATATGTCTCATTTTGTATATTTGAACTTGGAATCATGTAAATATTTTTCATAATTATAAAACAAAACTAAATTTTAAAAAATCCTTAAATATCAAAATATTGTCTGTATCTAGTGGGTGGCATATCCCAGACAGAACGATGTCAAGTGGCTCTAAAACATAATCTTGACTATACATATCCGGTGGAATATACCCTAAGGACCCCCTCCCCCCAAAAAAAAAACTGCCAAAAAGAAAAAAAAGATCTTAAACCATCTTCAGTAATCATATTGTCATTGTTGATATTGATATTGTTATTTTAAAGCTGTGTGTGTGTGTTTATTTTATACTGAGTAATTGTGTTAGTATCACTGAGAATGGAATTTTAAGTATTGGTGAAAAGAGATACAAATAAGAAAGACAGCCCGTTGCCATCGAGTCAATTCTGACTCACAGCAACCCTATAGGACACAGTAGAACTGCCCGATAGCGTTTCCAAGGTTGTAAATCTTAATGGAAGCAGACCCCCACATCTTTCTCCCTCAGAGCAGACAGGAAAGATAAGGTTGAATAAAAACTCTGTGGTTGTGATTTTGAATTGGAAGTATCAGCATGAACTTCTGTTTTGTATCTTAAAGATACATGTATATATTTCCTAGCTCTCTACATTGAATAGACCTAAACATTGTAACCGACCCAGTAGCAATAAGCACCTGAGCACCCAGCTGTGATGGTGAGGACTGTGGGGATGGTACAAGACTGGGTAGCATTTCGTTCTGTTATAGGTGGGGTCGCAAAGAGTCAGAGCTGACTCCATGGCAACTCACAACAAGATGGCACCCAGCTGTGAGCTCTAAATACCATTTCCCGCTAAAAGGAACCAGGGCTCCTTGGAGAGATGGTTGAGAAATAGCCTGGGGCAAGAAAGGCACAAAATGAGCCTGGAACATCTTGTCATTCCAGGAAACCATTCAAGAACCATTAATGTACCTGCGGTGGTTCATTTTATATATCAGCTGGGCTAGGTTCCTAATTGTTTGGTAAAACACTAGTCTAGTTGCTGTTATGAAGTAGTTACGTGTGATTGAATCAGTTGGCCTTAAGGAAAGCAGATTATCCTCCATAAGGTGGGTGAGCTTCACCCAATCATTGAAGCCCTTGAGAGCAAAAAGGGAATTTTCACTAGTGTAGTCTGCTTCCAGAGCTCCTTCGCTCTTCTCTTGCCATTGTTTCACTTACGGATTTGGGGACATAAGACTGAGGAATTGCCGTCCTGTCACCTGACATACAGATTTGGGACTTACCAGTCCCCCACAATCACATGAGTCAATTTCTTAAAATTAATACCTCTCTCTCTCTTTCAAAAACCCACTGCCGTCGAGTCACTTCCAACTGATAGTGACCCTATAGGACAAAGTAGAACTGCCTCACAGGGTTTCCAAGGCTGTAAATCTTTATGAAAGTAGACTGCCACAGCTTTCTCCCATCTCTCTCTCTCTATATATATATATACGTATGTATATATAATATATACGTAATATATAATGTATATATATTCATCACCGGTTCTGTTTCTCTAGAGAACCCTAAGACAGTACTTAGCATGAAGAGGACCTCATGGCAATCTGAGCATCAGTAAAGATAATAACTG